TCCCAGAGCCAGATCTCAGTGCTGCAGAACCGCATCGAGCAGCTGGAGCAGCTGCTGGAGGAGAACCATGAGATCATCAGCCACATCAAGGACTCGGTGCTGGAGCTGACGGCCCACGCAGAGGGGCAGTCGGCGCTGCCCCGCCACACGCCCAACAGCTCCTGGGTGCTGCCCCCTGAGAGTCGCCCCAGCTTCCTCTCGGTCTCCCCACAGGACTGCCAGTTTGCCCTGGGGGGCAAGGGACAGAGCCCAGACCTGCAGGTGAGGGGCCAGTGTCAGTCCAGAAGCTCAGGGCCACCTGTGTCAGAGCAAGGGGATCCTGCTTTCCAAGTCTCCCACCCCCCTGAGGGTGCCATGGTGGTACCAGGGTGTCTGTGGGGTCCTGGCCCCACTCCCCTGGGGGTCTCTGAGCCCAGTGTCTGCCCTGAGCCCTGTCTCCCACTTGGCAGATGCTGGCTGTGTACTCCCTGCTGCCCTTTGACAACCAGGACGGCGGCGTCTGGAAGCAGGGCTTTGACATCACCTACGAGCCCAGCGAGTGGGACGCAGAGCCCCTGCAGGTGTTCGTGGTGCCACACTCCCACAACGACCCGGGTGAGCAGCGGGCGAGGGCGGCCAGGGGAGGGGCAGGGCTGGCCCCACGCTGATCCCGACCTGTGCCACCAGGCTGGATCAAGACCTTCGACAAGTACTACTACGACCAGACGCAGCACATCCTCAACAGCATGGTGCTGAAGATGCAGGAGGACCCGCGCCGGCGCTTCATCTGGTCTGAGATCTCCTTCTTCTCCAAGTGGTGGGACAACATCAGCGCCCAGAAGCGGGCTGCGGTGCGGAGGTAGGGCCTGGCAGGTCACTGCTTGCTCTACTCCCAGGGCTGGAAAACCCTCTCAGCACTGGAACCCTGAGCACGTGGGCACTGCCGCAGAGCTGGAGCGGTGCTGGTGCCAGTGCCTCGTGGGGCTCAGGGCACCCTCAGGGGGTGGCAGAGCTGGGGAGCAGGATTGGGCACTGGGAGAAGGGCCCCCTTCTTATCCCCCTGCCCTGGGGATGCTGAGAACAGAGGAGAGAGGGAACAGGGGCTGCAGGACACCGTGGGAGGGCTTCTGGTTGGGGCCTGGGCTGGTGTGGTGCAGGGGTGTCTGTCTGTGTGGGGACACTGTGGGCAGGGAGACACGGGCAGCTCCGAGGCACGGGGAGGCTCTGCCGTGGGCACGCAGCTCACCGCTGGGCTCTGCCCGGAGTCTGTCACATCCCCCGTGTCCCCCACACAGGCTGGTTGGCAACGGGCAGCTGGAGATGGTGACGGGTGGCTGGGTGATGCCCGATGAGGCCAATTCCCACTACTTCGCCATGATCGACCAGCTGATTGAGGGGCACCAGTGGCTGGAGAAGAACATCGGTGAGAGCTGGGTGGGATGCCAGGCAGGGGGGGCAGGGGCTGGCTGCGGGCCCATGCGGTGTGCCGGCGGGCACCCCTATCCCTGGTG